CCAAAAAAAAAAAAAAATTCGAAACGTCAAAAGGCAACGTTAGTCATGTGATGCAATGAGTATTGCTCACTAGACCGTTTTCTATGGACCTAAAAAAGTTTAGACCAATCGGAGTCCGTCACCAAAAAGTTGATATAATCACAAATTCGTGTTGCATGACCATGAAACGCCATAAAATAACCTCGAAAGTCATGGCGAAGCAATGAGTATTGGTCATTAGGCCGTTTCCTATTGACCTACAAAAATTCAGGTCAATCGGAGTCCGTTAATAAACTTCTACAAAATCAGCATGTACTAATACACGCGAGAAAGTGAATATAATCATAAAGTATAGCATGATCTCGAAATGCCATAAAATGAACTCGAAAGTCATGGGGAACCAATGAGTATTGGTCACAAGGTCGTTTTCTATGTTACTACAAAATTTCAGGCTAATCAATGTCCGTAAAAAAAATTCTACAAAATCAACATATACTAATACACACCAAAAAGTGAATATAGTCATAAATTTGTATTGCACGACCTCAAAACCCTAAAAAATAAACCCAAATTGCCAAAAAGCAACATTAGTCATGGCGAAACAATGAATATTGGTCACTAAGTTGTTTCCCATGGACCTAAGGTATTTTAGACCAATTGGAGTCCGTCAAAAAGATTCTATAAAATCAACATGTACTATTGCACATGAAAAAGTAGGTATAATCATAAATTCGTGTTACATGCCCTTGAAATGCCACAAAATGAGCTCGAAAATCATGGGAAAATAATGAGTATTGTCAGTAGGCCGTTTCCTATCGACTTACGAAATTTCAGGCCAATCAAAGTCCGTAAAAAAAATTCTACAAAATAAGCATGTACTAATACACACGAAAAAGTATATATAATCATAAATTTATGTTGCATGACCACAAAGTGCTAGAAAATAAACTCGAAAGTCATAGCGAAGCAATGAGTATTGGTCGCTACGCCGTTTCCTATGAACCTTGGACACTAGCACACAGAAGATTTGAAATCATCCTGAATACCAATTTTATGGCCCTGAAATGCCAAAATACAAAGAACATGGAGAAGCGATGACTATTGTTCTTTAGGTCGTTTCTTATTGGCCCACTGAATTTTAGGCGATTCGGAGCCCGTCGCCCGAGTTCATGAAGATGGTGTGAACATTAGCACACGGAAAATTGGAAATCGTCCTCAATTCCTATTTTATGGCCCTAAAACACCAAAAAATGAGGAATGGTCATGGCGAAATAATAACTATTGTTCATTAGGTTTATTAATGGGCCCAAAATTTTTTGACGATTCGAAGCCCGTCGCTCAAATTCATGAAGATAGCGTGAACATTAGCATACGAAAAATCGAAAATCGTCGTGAGATCCTATGTTTTTTCCCTAAAATGCCAAAAAACGTGGAACAATCATGGCAAATCCATGACTATTGTTCATCTTATGATGGGCCTACAAAATATTTGGCAATGCAAAACTCATCGCCCGAATTCATAAAGATGGCGTGGACTATAGCACAAGAAAATTTGGGAATCATCCTGAATTCCTATTTTGTGGCACTAAAATACAAAAAAACGAGAAACAATCATGGTGAAGCGATGACTATTGTTCATTAGGTAGTTTTTTGATGGTTCCGCAAGATATAGGAGATTCGGAGCCGGTCGCCCGAATTCATGATGATGGCGTGTACTACAACACACAAAAATCTGAGAATCGCCCTGAATTCCTATTTTATGACTCTATAACGCCCAAAACGAGGAATGGCTATGGCGAAGCCATGACTATTGTTCATTAGGTCATTTTTTATGGGTCCGTAAAATTTTAGCAGATTCGGAGTCGGTTGCCGAATTCATGATGATGGCGTGGACTACACACAAAAATTTGGGAATCGTCTTGAATTCTTCTTTTATGGCACTAAAACACCAAAAATCGTGGAACGGTCGTAGAGAAACGATAACTATTGTTCATTAGGTCGTTTTTTATGGCCACAAATCTTTTAGGAGATTCGGGTCTTTCGCCCGAATTCATGCAGATGACGTGGATTATAGCACACGAAAATTCAAGAATCATCTTGAATGTCTATTTTATGGCCCTAAAATACCAAAATAGAGAAGCGGCCATGGCGAAGTGATGACACTATTGTTGATTAGGTCATTTCAGATGGGCCCGTAAAATTTTAGAAAATTTGGAGCCGGTCGCCCGAATTCAAGCAGATGACGTGGACTATATAGCACACGAAAATCTAAGAATCATCATGAATTCCTGTTTAAAAACAAGGAACGGTCATCGCAAAGAGATGACTTATTTTCATTAGGTCATTTTTTATGGAACCGCAAAATTTTAGGAGATTAGGAGCCGGTCGCCTGAATTTATGCAAATGGAATGGACTCTAGCACTCAAAAATATGGGAATTGTCCTGAATTCCTATTTTATGGCACTAAAATGCTAAAAACAAGGAACGATCATGATGAAACGATGACTATTGTTCATTATGTCATCTTTGATGGGGCCTGAAAATTTTTAGCAGATTCAGAACTGGTCGCCTAAATTTATACAGATGACGTGGATTGTAGCACACGAAAGTCTAAGAATCGTCTTGGATTTTTTATGGCCTAAAACGCCAAAAATGAAGAATGGTTATGGAGCGAAGATTATTGTTCATTAGGTAGTTTTTGAGGGGCCCGAAAAATTTTATGAGATTCGGAACCGATCACCCGAATTCATGTAGATGGACTATAGTACACGAAAATGTGTGAACTGTTCTGCTTCCTATTTTATGACCCTAAAATATCAAAAAATATTTTAGCCATTTTTTATGGGCGCAAAAAGTTATAGGGGATTCGGAGCCGGTCGTCCGAATTCTTGCAGATGGCATGAACTATAACATACGAAAATCTGAAAATTATCTCGAATTCCTATTTTATAGCCCTAAAACACCAAAAAAGAGTAACAGTCATGAAGAAGTGATGACAATTATTCATTAGGTTGTTTTTGATGGACCTGTAAAATTTTAGAGAATTCGAGGCCAGTCGCCCCAATTCATAAAGATGGCATAGACTATAGCACAAAATCTGGGAATCGTCTTGAATTCCTATTTTATGGCTCTAAAATGTCAAAAAATGAGGAACAGTCATGGCAAAGCGATGACTATTGTTTATCAAGTCATTTATACGGGCCCGCTAAATTTTAAGAGATTCGGAGCCGGTCGCTCAAATTTATGCAGATGGCGTGGACTATAGCACACGACTATATTCATGCAGACTTGTCCTGAATTCCTCTTTTATGGCCCTAAAATGCTAAAAAATGAGGAAGGGTCATGGCGAAGCAATGACTATTGTTCATTAGGTCATCTTTTATAGGACCACAAAATATTACTCCCTCAGTTCCAATTTATGTGAACCTGTTTGACTGAATATGGAGTTTAAGAAAAAATAAAGACTTTTTGAATTTGTAGTCCTAAACAAGTCAAAAAGGGGTCTAGAGTATTTATGTGGTTATAAAAGCTTCTCACTAAGGGTAGAATTACAAGTTTAAGCTAAATTATTTCCAAATATAGCAAGGGGTCATTCTTTTTGGTATGGACCAAAAAAAAAAATAGGTTCACATAAACTGGAACGGAGGGAGTAGGAGATTCGAAGCCGATCGCCCAAATTCATGTGATGGCGTGGACTATAGCACACGAAAATGTGAGAATCATCTTGAATTCTTATTTTATGGCCCTAAAGCGCCAAAAAATGAGGAACGGTCATGGCAAAGCGATTACTATTGTTCATTAGATCGTTTTTGATGGATCCACAAATTTTAGGAGATTCAGAGCTGAATGCATGAATTCATGCAGATGGCATTAACTATAGCACACGAAGATCTAGGAATAGTTTTGAATTCCTATTTTATGGCCCTAAAATGCCATAAAATGAGGAACGATCAGGGCAAATCAATGACTATTATAATTTATGCTATTTTTTATGAGCCCGCAAGGTTTTAGTAGATTCGGGGCTGGTAGCCCGAATTCCCGTAGATGGCATGGAATATAACATACGAAAATCCGAGAATTGTCCTAAATTCCTATTTTATGGCCCTAAAACGCCAAAAAATGAGTAACAGACAAGGTGAAGCGAAACAATGACTATTATTCATCAAGTTCATTAGGTCTTGAGTTCATATTTTATTACACTAAAACGCCATAAAACGAGGAACAATCATGGAGAATCGATGACTATTGTTCATTAGGTCATTTTTATGGACCTGCAAAATTTTAGGAGATTCGGAGTCGGCTCCCCGAATTTATGCAGATGGCATGGACATAACACACAAAAATTATGGAATCGTCCTGAATTTCTATTTTATCGCCTTAAAATTCCAAAAAACGATGAACGGTCATGACGAAATGATAACTATTGTTCATTAGATCATTTTTATGGGCCCTTAAAATGCTAGGAGTGTTACATCCCATGTTTTCGTACGTGGAAGTACACCACAAGTAAATTGATACAAGATCGAAAATGAGATAGCACGTCCCCCATTTTCGTACGCTAAAATTTCGTCGTAAGTTAATCAACGTAAGTTCGGGAATGAGATTATTTTGAGATTATAAGCATTATGCTATTTAAAACAAGTGATGAGTAAATTCGTGAAGTTAAGAGGGTAAGCAAATTGAAGAAAATAAATTTCGTCAAAGTTTGA